GCATCCGGGTTGTGCAGCTGCCGCCTCTCGCTGATCCTGGCCTCCTTCATTAGGCAGCTGGCAACGGCAACTCGCTGCAGCTCGCCGATCTGCAGAGAGAAGGGGGAAGAAGGACGGCGGGGAGGACAGGCGTCAGCGCAGGGCAATGGGCACGGACAGATGGCAGACATGGCAAGACACACGGCCGTGGAGAGATGCACTGTCCCAGAGAGTGCGAGCTGCATGGCAGGATGGGCAGGGCAGGATAGGCAGGGCAGGATGGGCACGCACTACCCTGTGCACCTGATGCTGCCCCCTCCAAGGAGCTGGTGCTGCTGTGAGGGGAGAGCAGGCGGCCAAAACCAGGGCGCAAAGGGCTGTGCCCAAGCAGCAGACGCAGGCAGGAGCTGCCCGGCCCTCCTGGTGCTCAGGGCAGTGCCCAGTGCTCACCTTGAGGCGGTACGCCTGCTCGGGCATGGCTTGCACCGCTCTGATCGCCCTCTCCATGAGCTCCACGAGGTCCTCGTTGAGCAGCTCACGGGAGACCTCTCTGCTGCTGGCTTTAGCGAGGACGGAGTAGACGCTGTTCTTGGCACGGGCACGGCCCTGGGCCTGCAGCAGAAGGGCCAAATGCTGCGGTCACCAGAGGAGGGCCATGGCCAACCCCCCCTGCCTCCCCGTGCCACCCCACAAGGATGGATCCACCCTCCGCACCCCGCTCCGCCTCACCAAGGAGGTGCTCTGCCAGGGGCTGGGCTCATCCCCAGGGAGCTGCCAGTGGGCGTGGGATGCGAGAGCCCCCGTGTCCCACCTCTGTGGCTTTGGGGTGTCCCAGCAGGCTGCCCCCCACATGGAGCCAGGCGGAGTGGCCAGAAGGAGCCCGGGTAGCTACCTGCATCATGGCGATCTCGTTGGTCATCAGCCCGTAGCGGACCACGATGTTGCACTCGGGGATATCCAGGCCCTCCTCAGCCACGCTGGTGGAGAAGAGCAGGTTGAGGGCTCCCTCGCGGAACAGCTTGATCACGTCCTGCTGCTCATTCTGAGGGGAGAGGGGGGTGATGCTTCAGCAGCTGCATAGGGCTCCGAGCCCCAGGCAGCACCCACAGCACCCACAAAGTGTGGAGAGAGGGTTAGGGCTGGATCCCTCCCAGGACCCTGTCCAGCTCCTTCCCACCCTCTGCTCACCTGCGTCATGTGCCTGGTCTGGTTGCTGTAGCCAGTGCCGGTGAGGACGGCAGCCCTGATGTGCTGCCCACTGAGCGTGGCCGTGTCCTGCAGCCAGCTGAGCAGGCTGTGGGCGCTCTGCCGGGTCTTGGTGAAGATGATGCCACGAGAAGCGGCCGGGGGCTGGAAGTGCTCCCGCAGGATCTCCTCCAGCTTGCCCAGCCTGGGGTTCTCGTAGCGCCGGTCCCCGGCAAGCGCCTGCAGGCTCATCCTATTCTCTGCGCAGGCGAGTGGGGTGTCAGGGGAGCTCCTACCCCCCCAAACGCAGCCAGCACCAACCCCCCCTCCAGGCCCTCCATTACCCTCAAACGCGGTGGTGAGGAACCGTTCAGTAGGGTCCTTCATGTCCCGCTCGGTGGCATAGAACTGCTGGAGGTACTGGAAGGCGTCAATCATCCGCACTGTGTCGTTGATCAGCAAAGCGTCGTTGTACTTGCGCAGGTGCAGCATGCACACCCGCATCTTGCGACAAAATGTCTCTGCCGCTGGCAAGGGCCGGGGCATGCTGCGGTCACAGTCTGGCCCCACGGCTGCCAGCTCTGCCCCGCCGCACCCGCACTGCCACCTCCTCACCTCTCTTCTCCAGCTCCACGATGCGCTGCTCATAAATCTGTGTGCCAAAGTCCTGCGGCAGGCCGGGCATCTCCATGTACTGCTGGATCCGCTCCATCACCTTCTTCAGCTGCTCGCCAAAGGGGTCCTGGGAGCAGAGAGGGGCTCAGGACCCGAGGAATCGGGGACATTGCTCCGGACAGCCTTGGAGGCGCAGCACAGAGCACCTGGCCTGGGGTTAGGGGCTGTTTGCATGGCAGGACCCGGAGGGTTGCGGGATCCCCCTGCACCAAAGCTCTGGGTCAAGTGATTCCTCAGATTGGCCTGTGCTAAGTGGATGGAGGGACACAGTCCCCGGCCGCCCCTCACCTGCGCTCTCTCCTGGCAGAGGTCGTACTGCTTCCTGGGCTGGGGGACGTGGCTCTGAAGGTGCTGCAGCTCCTCCTGCACCGACGTGATTTTCTCAGCGTCCAGGTTGGCACAGATCTGAGAGGGCGAGACCCCACTTCCAGCCCTGAGCCCTGGCAGCCCAGGGCGATGCGGCACGTGGTGCTTGCTGGCACCCCAGCAAGTTCGGGACTGTCCTGTGCTGCCCAGCTGCCCAGCACCTGCACACCGGGTTATCAACACCCATCCCAAGGGACACCTTGCTACACCCCGGGAGAAGCTGTGCCTGGGGCTGTTGCACCCTGTCTTGGTGCAGGACGGGGGGCGCAGGACCCACCTGCAGGATGTGCTCTACAGCCCCCTCGAAGGAGGTTGCCCCCCCGGTGCCGGGGGATGCTGTCAGGCCCAGGACCTGCGGCAGATCCTGCTGCCCGCTGAGCTTGTGCTGGAGGTAATTCAGCATGATTTTGTTGTAGATGGCTTCCTTGTGCGTGTGGTGGCACTCGTCTATCACCAGCAGTGAGAAATCTGCGCCAGGCAAGGGAGGGGAGCGGGCTGAGCTACGCCAGCGGCGGAGACTCAGCAGGACCAGTCCCACCCCAGCCTGGCCGCGGGGAGAGCAGCACTGGGGGTCCCGCACCCACCTGTCAGCTCCACACGCATGTCCTCCTCCTTGCTGACCAGCGCGTTCTGCAGGATCTGGGCTGTGCAGATGACAATGTCGCTCTGCTTCACCACACAGGCAAAGAAGAATTTGTGGCTGCTGTCCCCGCTGATGGCCGTCACCCTGAAGTCCTTCTGCAGCACATGGAACTCCTTCTTGGCGTGCTGGTCCACCAGGTGCACCTGCGCCCACGAGACCCCGCTCAGCCCCTGCCCAGGACCACCGCCTGGGAGCCAGTGTCCAGCAGGTGCTGGCACCCCATTACCCCTGGGGCAGGGGACCGGGGTTGGGGGGCACCT